TTTTTCAATTGGATTATTTACTTTTATCTTGTTGTGGTGCTCAAGTATTTTATAAATTCTGGATATAAGTCCCTTATCTGATATGTTATTCCCAAATACATTTTCCCAGTCTGTGGCTTCCCTTTTTACCCTGTTGGAGAAGTTTTTGGATGTGCATAGGCATTTGATTCTTAGAAGATCCCATTCATCTACTTTATCTTCTCCTGGTTGTAGGGTTTTCAGTATACTTGGAAGACCATTCTAGCCTTGTTCCTAGCTTTTCTGTAATGACGTTTATAGTCCTTGGTTTTAGTTCTATGAGCTCTTTAAGTTAATTTTGAAGTATTTTTCTACAACAGTGTTTGCATGTGACAGTTTCTTACATTTCTTAGTGAATTTGTGATTTTCTGAATCCTAATAAATGAGTTGAGAAACTGAGGGGGAAAAACTGTTGCACTTTTCTGCAAATTAAAATTCAGTAATCAACTGCAGGTGTTATTTTTTCACAGGGATCCTTTAATGCCCGTGGAAAATAAGTAAAAATGCCGAGATGCCAAGCTGTAGGTTAATACAGACATTTCTAGAAGCAGGGAGGGGGTCATGTAGAAAGGTTGTTATTGTTGTTTTTATGTGCTATTATAGTTTCAGCTATCACTAATAATGACCCTATGAAAAACGTCTCTGAACAGCACCCTGTTCTGACCCAATGTTACTGTCTCCAACACACCTGAACTCATTGCCACAATCATTGTGTCAATCCATCTCATCCAAGATTTTCCTCTTTTGCACTGACCTTCAACCCTTCCAAGCATGATGTCCTTCTTCAAGGATTGGTCCCTCTTGATAAAGGATTTTGAAACTCCATCAAGAGGGACCAATCCCTCCATGTGAGATGGAATTTCAAAATTCTTGTCTGCCAGAAGCAGCCTGGTTGCACCCTTTCCAGGACAGACTTATTTTTTCTCTTGGCAGTTTCTTGTATGTTCAACATTCTTCTCCAGCCACACAACTCAAAAGGCATTGATTCTTCTGCCATCCTTATTTATTGTCTAGCTCTCAGGTGCAGAGGTAGCAATTAAGAAGACCATGACTTGGATTAGGTGCTTCTTAGTCTTTAGACTGACATTGTTGCTTTTTAGCACTCTGAAGAGTTCCTTGACAGTAGATTTTTTTCCCCCATTGCAATGTATCTTTTGATTTTTTGACTCTCATGCCAAGGGTGTTGATTGTGGATCGAAGTAAGAGGAAATCATTAACACCCTCAATCTTTTCTCCATCTGTTGACCCAGTGGTGAAGATTTCTGTTTTCTCAATATTGAGATGCACTCCATATTGAAGGCTGTAGTCCTTGACCTTTTGCAGCAAGCACTTCAAGTTAACCTTAGTTTTGGCAAGCAAGGTTTGCATATCTGCATAGCACAGGTTGTTGATGAGTCTTCTTCCAATCCTGATGCTACATTCTACTTCATAAAATCCAGTCCCTCGAATGGTCTGTTCAGTATATAGATTGAAAAGGTATGGAGAAAGGCTACTTCTCTGATGCACTCCATTCTTTATTTTGAACCATGTGGTGTTCCCTTGCTCTGTTCACATAACAGCTTCTTGGTCTAGGTATAGGTTTTGCATTAGCACAATGAAATGTTCTGGGATTCTCATTTTTGTCAGCGTTAGCCATAGTTTGTTGTGCTCTATATAGTCGGATGCCTTTGCATAGTCGATAAAACACGTATAGATTACCTTCGGTACTCTGCTTTCACATCTGACATCAGCAATGATACCCATGGTGCTGTGACCGTTTCTAAAAGATGATCATGATCTAATCAGTCAGTTTTGCTTTTATGGCCATACTCAAATGTTTGTGTCTGTTTATACTTCTTACTAGTGGGTCAGTATTACCAAAAATATTATTACATTTATACATGTACTTTTATAAGAACACTATGAATGACTTTCTTAGAAATAACTCTTAGAAATGAAATAAATTCTTAAACTAATAAGTTCAGCATGTAAATCTGTGTAGGACTGTTAGCTTCAGTAGAAGATCTGGTTGTACCATTTTTATATTATCCAGTACATTTACCTGCATTTTTAAATGTTTAAGTTTTCAGTGTAGGCAACAGAATTTAGTAAATATGTTGTCGGAAGAAATGCAAAGAGAAAAGAATTTATTGTTAGTGGGAAAGACTACATATGAAATAAAAAGTCTTAATCTAAAATCGAGATAAATAGATATTTTTGCTTTTGTTGCAAAGGGATGAGCTTAAATCATGCTATTGTTCTGAAGATGCTTTTGAACAGTCTTAATAGTTTGACCAAAGTCAGTGTTATATGAAAGAAATTTTTCTGTAACTAGAACTTGTTATGTACCCTTGAGTGGGACCTGAGTCATAGTTGAGCTACTAGCAGGTTTTCAGAGGCAGTAAATCATACAAGAGGAGATTGCCCATCTTTCTCCTGTGGGGCTACTGTTGATTAGAACCTTATGCCTTTGGGCTGGCAGTGCAGCTTTTTACCTTTGAGCCACCAGAGCTTCCTGGACTAGTTAACTGGAACAGATACTATCATAAAACAAAGATTTAAATACAAGCTAGGGCATTGTGTGTTCGTGAATTTTTTCTCAAGTGATAAATATTTAAAGCATTATCTTTCAATTTAACAATTTTTTTTACATGTGTATTAATGCTAACTTGATCTTTTAATGATCAGATAGGTATCTATATCAGAAATAATTTTTTATTACTCAAATATATAATTTTGTATGTTGATTCATGTGTAAGTAGTTATGTTTATTACATCTTAAAATTGAAAAAAGATATTTTAAATATAAGTTATAGAAAAATGATTCACACTTTTAGTAACACATTATTATTTAAAATCTATAAACTGTTGTGAAAAATATTTTGGAGAATTTCAAGAATTCTAACTTATTGTTTTTGAGTCCTGAGATTAGTACTCACAAGAAGTCGTTTAAAAATATGACTGTTTTCAGACCCATTCTGATTAACTTAGGTGCCTTTAAAGATTTTTTTGTTTCTGTGTTAATCATTACTTTGTATTATTTTTCCTATATTATTTTAGTAAATGACATAGTAGTGCAATTTGTGATGACTGCAATAATATGGTGAAAGTATTCATATATATATTTTGTAGAAGGAGAAACTAAAGCAACACACTTGCTCAATTTTTTTTTTCTATTTAATAATGCAGATTTGCTAAGAATCTAGGTCTTTCTGAATTTACATTTTACAGCATTCATAATTTTTCCAAGAATTAGTTGGCTTCATTTAAAACGTTTTTCCCTCTAAACATATTGTATAGGTAAGTGTATTAAAACAACTTTTTTTTTGCCAGAAGTAAATGCACAAGGAAAAGAGACTAGATAGAAATTTAATTAATGTTTAAAAAAAATTGATATTTTACAGTATGTACATACATGAATACACACAGACACACACACATGGACCTCTGAATGATGTGCCAGGAATTGGAATAATTCAGCAAGGTAGCATTTAGATTTCAGTTTCTTGCCTTGATCACAGTTGTATTGAATCTTTTTTTAAATTTTATTTTATTAATTTTAATGAACATTTTCAGAGATTTTGGATTTCCATTCATTCATTGTTGCACTTTTCTCCCTGCACCCTCCCCACCCCCCAAATTCTCTCCTCTCTTTGAAAAGCAAAAGAAAAATTCCTTCTTCGGTATACAACCCCCCCGCACCCCTACCACTGCCCCAAGTACACTCCACTATGCAACCTTAATTCTGGACTCTTGTGATAACCACAATACCCTATCATATATCGCTTTTAAATTATTCTCTCCCTC